GATATATAAGACTCGTCTTGTCGCAAAAGGCTTTACACAAAAAGAAGGTATCGATTATAAAGACACTTTCTCTCCGATTTCTTTGAAAGACTCTTTTAGAACTATAATGGCATTGGTAGTGCATTTCGATCTTGAGCTACATCAGATGGATGTTAAGACAGCGTTTCTCAGTGGTGACATTGATGAAATAATTTATATGGTACAACCAGAAAACTTTGTACCGGATGATGCAAAGCAAATGGTTTGTAAATTAAAGAAATCCATCTATGGATTCAAACAAGCATCTCGTCAATGGTATTACAAGTTTCATCAGGTAATCATCTCATTTGATTTTGAGATGAATTTGGTCGATGATTGTATATACCACAAGTTCAGTGGGAGCAAGTATATTTTTCTGGTTTTATATGTCAATGACATATTGCTTGACAGCAACGATATAGGCTTATTGCACGAAACCAAGATATTTCTAGCAAAGAATTTTGAGATGAAAGATCTTGGTGACGCCTCTTTTGTATTAGGAATTCAGATACACCGAGATCGTTCTCGGGGTATTCTTGGATTATCACAAAAGAGCTATATCAAAAAGGTACTTAAAAGATATGGCACGCAAGATTGTAAACCATGTGACACCCCTGTGGCTAAAGGAGACAAGTTCAGCTTAAGTCAGTGCCCTAAAAATGACTTGGAAATTAAAGAAATGCAGAAGATTCCTTATTTCTTAGCTATAGGGAGTCTGATGTATGCTTAGGTTTGTACGCGTCCGGATATAGCATACATTGTTGGGATGCTAGGGAGATATTTAAGTAACCCGGGAATGGATCATTAGAAAGCAGCCAAACAGGTCATGCGGTATTTACAGAGAACAAAAGACTACATGCTTACATATAGGAGATCGGATCAGTTGGAGATCATCGGTTATTCTGATTCCGATTTCGCGGGATGCCAAGATAGTAGGAGATCCACTTCAGGCTATATTTACTTGCTAGCTGGAGGTGCTAGTTCATGGAAGAGTGCCAAGCAGACACTCATAGCTACTTCCACCATGGCAGCGGAGTTTATAGCGTGTTATGAGGCATCAAATCATGGAATATGGCAGCGTAATTTTGTCACTGGACTACGCATTGTGGACAATATAGAAAGACTACTTAAGATATTTTGTGACAATAAATTAGCAGTGTTGTATTCTAATAACAACAGGAGCTCGACGAAATCAAAACATATAGAGATCAAGTTCCTAGCTGTTAAAGAAAGAGTTCAGAGAAGACAGATGTCAATAGAACATATTGGGACAAACTCCATGGTTGCGGATCCGCTTACTAAGGGATTGATACCCAAGGTCTTTCATGAGCTCACTGCTCATATGAGTGTAATGTCTCTTGAGGATATCTAGTTTCAGTGGGAGTCTATATTTTTGCTTTTCATATTAGACACATGCACTGTTGTTTTGAATACGGTTTAAAGTTAAAGTTATTTTCAGTTATAAAGTTATTTGGTTAATTATCTCTGAACTTGTTTAAAATGATCTCACTAAGGTATTAAGGTGGACCAGTTGGAAATAGGCATGTTACAGATCACATTACATGTAATTTCCATGCTACACATTCATGCTTGATCCATGTCATTCGGTTATATTGATATACGTGACCATTGATGGGTTTAGCTACGTGAAAGTAGCGAAAGTCGCTTTGATCCTATGTTGATATGATTGATGGATGGGATTGTCTGGGGATACATTCGGTAATGATAGTAAAATTCTAAGTACTCATAAGGTTATGTGTAATGCACAATTATAAGGTGACACATATAGCCCAAGTGGGAGATTGTAAGGATTTTTAATCAATAGATGGGCTTGTATGTGTGAATAATTGTGTGTTAAATTATAGGCTATCGAATTCGGTTGAGCCCAATTAAAGTGATCTAATAAGGCTTTGGTTTTGGGCTTTAATGTATCCAATTAAAGTATGGATTTACATATGTGTAGAGACCGGCCCAAGTCCTAATTCTATGATGGACCGAATTAGGTCAAAGGGCGTCCCTATATAAATAGGTTATGGTCCCAGATCACACGCACGTATTATTCATTCTCTACTGCATCCTATCAGAGAGAGGAAAATGAGACTGCGTGTAGATTTGGAAGACTATATCGCAAAATTCATATTACATTAACCATTCAGGTACGCTTCCGCTTTAATTCTTGTATTTCTTGATGATTTAACATGAAAGATCCGGTAATTTAAAGCATTAAATTATCCAACATGATATTGTAACAATGCAGGCTTGGATTACTCTTCATCGTGGGAATGGCTTAATTGGTGCTCTTCCACATGCTCCTTACTTTCCACTCGAAAAAGAAGAGAATTTCTGGTTACTTGTTGCAGACTCCTTGTCAAATGACGTTTGGATCTCTCAGAACGTAAATTTCGTAGACGAAGCAACGACAATAATTGCTGCATCAAAAGCAATCCAGGAGTTGAAGGAGGGGTCGGGTGCTGGTGCGAGGGAAATGAATGCAGCAGTAAAAGAAGCAATTGATAGAGTTAAAGCTGGTTCTCGGCTAGTGATGTCCAAGTTTCAGGCTCCCGCAGAGGGAAACCACAACGTGACTTCTTACTGCTTATGCGATTCATGGATTGGTTGTGATGCAAAGTCTACTATTAAGTTGAAGGTTTTGAAAGGCAGCCGAGCTGGGGACGGGGGTATGGTGGCCGCAGAAGAGTTACCGGCACTAGAGGATGAAGGCGATGAGGTGGAGGAAGAAGATGAATATGATGATGATTACGAGAGTGAGTACAGTGAAGACGATGAAGATGTTAAAGGAAAAGATGCCAATGGATCTGTGGCAAATGGCTTTGCCCATGTTAGAGGCGGCGACAATTCAAGCTCTGATGGTTCAGGAAGTGAGAATAATTAGAAAATGATTTCCTTCACTTTTGTCTTGTTTTGTTATTACGTTAAATATTTTAATTTTCCGAGAGAAATAAAGGGGATGAAAGGAATTTTTGCCATAGTTCTGTTAAAACATTCACAAACAGTATATAGTCGATTTTAGAGTTTATTTAATACAAGTTGAAAAAGTATATGCACAGAGTAGATTACTTGAGCATGGTTGTTCTAGATGACATTTTAGTGCTTTGTCCTAACTCCTATATTCAAATCAGCCAACAAGCACTGTATTAGAATTGATCTCTTACCAGGGGCAGGAGATTAGGACCTTTGTTGCACCAATTATCAGTAAGTTAAAAGTTTCTATCCTGTCTACTGGGGTCAGGAGATTAGAACCTTTGTCGTACCAATTATCAGTAAGAAAGAATTGCTACTTCGTCCACGTATAAAATGAGGTTACAAAACTTACCCCCTTGGATATGGGCAAGAGACAGATGATTTTTTACTAGTTGGATGGTAGAAAAGAAATTTTATCCATTGGATTGAGTGTGATTCATTGAACGTAGTGCAAAATTTAAAAGCTTATTTTCGTCTTGCTCTGAATGAAGCTATTCTTTCTGACATTGTAGTTTTGCTTTGCGACGATAACTGTGGCTCTTGAAAATAGGCATTGAAAGTCGTGATGAACCACTATAGTTAATGGAGGAACGCCAAGCCAATAAAATTTGGGTTATTCTTGAGGAACATGGGGCACATAACCCGGCGCCCCCTATTGGAGGGGCGCCTCCATTATGTACACCTTTATATTTGGGGTTATGTACCCCAAGAACAATTCATAAAATTTCAGTAAAACCAGGAGGAAATAATTATAACAGTTTTCATATTTTTCTGTTATACAAGGCCACGATCTTAGAAAAAGAACTCTGTAAATATAAATTACTTTAAAGCACTCTCCTTTCTTTCAAACATATGTTCACAATCAATATAGCAGCAAAACCAGACACGAAGATTGAGAATGTATAAAAACAGAAAAAATTGGGAGTGGATTGGGAAAAAACAAATACTTATTTTTTCAAACTGCAATATGCTAAGCTCTTCATCATCTTCTTTGGAAGTTGAAGAACTTGATGCCCAAGGCAAAGCCGAAGAAGAAAATGAAAACCCAAACTATATGAATTATGCCCACAACTGGAAGGAAGTCGTGTTTGAAACCCAAGCTTTCACTAAGATACGCCTTCACTGTCATATTACCAGCTCCAGGCACCTCTAGTAGCGAAGATTTATCGCCAACTTGAGAGGTGATTAGACCGTAAATTGTCCAAGCAACGGGCGAACCCCAGTAGTACCACCTCCACCATATTGGAATTTGCTGCAGTCATAAAAAAGAGTCAGCTTCCAAGGAACTTTATGGCATGTTTGGTAGAGTGAATTAGACAGCATATTAATGAAGAAAAAATAGTTAAAATCTTGTTCATTGTACTGTCTAAGCGTACCAAACATGCCATTAGAGATTTAACTTTTGGGACTTAAAAAAATAATAAAGTTTCATGTTTAATCTGTCTGTAAAAGTTTCATGTTTAATCTGTCTGTACTCACTGTCCTGGGGATAAGGAAACCCGAGAACAAGTTCCAGATACTGATGAAGAAAGACATAACAATGGCAGCAATCTGGAAACCTGGAGTCAGCGCCACAAGCATCATCCCGTACAGCGTGTAGTAGACGAAGCTCGTCAAAATAAAATAGTAGAACCAGAAGAATTTTCCGACTTCCCACTCGAACCCAATCATGGAATAGAGTAGAAGAGAGTACAGAATAGTCTGAACTGCGATGTAGATTATCTCTATGGCCACCTGAAGAAAATAAGATTTATAGACAGTTGAATGTTGATCATGTGCCTAATGTGACTTTAGTAGTTATATTATAGTAAAATACTTCTTATGCTTCGGCCTAAAAAAAGCCAGCTTGCAGAAAGAGTTCTAAAATTTACTCATAATTAGATACGCTGAAATGTATAATGATACCTGAGCAAATGCATAAGGCAGCGCTGAATACATTCTAGCTGCCCTTTCACGGTAGAATACTGTTCTCTCTATAGAAACAACACCTTGCACGGTTGAAGAATTGCTGGCTCCAAGGAAAAGAACAGAAGCATAGATGGCTCCCAAAAGGTTCTGTAGATCTTGTTGTTTTTGGCTGTTACATAAAGTTGATGTCGCCTCAGATATAAATGCTAGCTTTTCCAAAATCAATAAAAAGATTTATGTAATCAAATAAACGAAGAAATCGAATGTGTAATTTCATTTAACCAAGCCAAAGGCGAACCATATGCAGTAGACATGTCTATGATAACTTAAGAATGCCATCATAGAAGGATGTGACAAAGGAAATTATGGGCTTACGTTTTTTGTCCCTTGTCCCAAAATATGACACCGAATATAATACCTATGACTATTGTCATGAAGAACCGAATGGCATTATATTGCGGATTCCTCCAGTAAGACAAATGCTGCTTCCAGAAACAGGCTTTGCATTGAGTAAGAAATGATTGATAGTACTTTGTTGGGAAATAGAGATCCTTAGAACCTGGTGGAGGGGTACTGAGTTCTTTGATAAGTTCTTGATTTCTCCTGAAAATTTTTTGAGGGAAAAATAATTTGCAGGATAATCTAAAAATCCGAGAAAATCATAAACAAATATTCAGAATAAGTCATTTCGCGTTTTGCTTACTGATAGAGGGAGGAGCTGGCAAATATATCTGCAAAATTGACTCCTAGTTGACCTTCAACTGCTGGCGTGCTAATCTCCAGCATCCATGTAGCTGGATTGTACCCGTCTCTAATCTTTGGAACCCCAGGAATAGCCTGGCATATGTTGAAAATATTTACAATCAAAGTGTTGCTCAAAGTGAAGAAACACGAAAATAAGCAATTATGCTTAATTAGTATATTGGTTTTGCTCGATAAGTTGAATCAAAGAACAGCAGCAAATGATACTTACTCCAAAATATTCTAGCAGCTTGTGAGAGTGGTGACCAAGTGGTCCAGCATAAATGACCCGCCCTCCTGTCTTCATCAGAAGTAACTGCATCAAGTCAATAATTAGCTGAAGGCATCTGAAAAGAATGGAAGATTCAAGGGAAAAAAATAAAATAAAAATCCACAATGCATCATAAATCTTGACCATACTTCATCAAATGCTTCAAAAATGTCTATACTTGGTTGATGAATTGTACAGACCACCGTTCTGCCTGTATCCACTGTATTTCTCACAGCACGCATAACTATAGCAGCAGCTCTGGCGTCAAGGCCCGATGTTGGTTCATCCATGAAGATGATAGATGGGTTAGCAACTAACTCTACAGCTATTGTTAACCTCTTTCTCTGTTCTGTTGAAAGGCCATCAACTCCCGGAAGCCCGACCAAGACATTTCTTATCGTGTTAAGCTCAACCAATTCCATCACTTCTTCAACAAACATCTATAGTCAAGATAACAATTGAGGTAGATTGTACTTCCATGTAAACTCAGAGAAAGAATTTCATATAATCAAGTAATATATGTTGGATTGTGTGGAGACTAATCATACTCTTTAATTAAGGGGGGTGTATTGGACATTCACATTTGTGCATTAGGTCGTTTAAATTACTTACATTGTATAAAGGAATGAGAGAGGGTTGCTTTTGCGTGTAGTGTGTGAAAGACACAGAGAGGCGTGAGATTTCAGTTGGGAACTTCTCAAATTAGTGAAATTTGCAGAGTGGAAGTAGCTCTCGTATTGAGGGTGAATCACTACAAATCTCTCTGTTTCTGTCTTGCATTTCTTATTCATCGTTCATTATTTCTCTCTGGTTTTGGAATTTAGGCATAATCCATAAAAATATACCTTTCTAGCGTTGGTTTTCACATCTGCAGGAAGACGAAGCCAAGCAGAGTACAGAACAGATTCATAAACAGTAACATTGGGGGAATGAATATCATTCTGCTCACAGTATCCACTAATTCGTGCAAACGTGGCCTGGTTCTTTGGGTAACCCGAAATGTTGATAGTCCCTTCAATATATCCACCGGTCTTTCTTCCAGCCAACACATCCATCAAGGTGGTCTTTCCAGCCCCACTAACACCCACAATTGCTGTTAATATCCCAGGTCTGAAAGCACTGCTAACATCTTGTAGTAGTTGGAGACGATTTTCTTCAACTCCCTGAGTTTTCATTTCCTGGTTCAGTAATAAACTTTCCAAGTTAATTTGATTGGAAAGGGGATAATGAGGCATCTTATAATTCAGCAACTTTTTAATGATTATGCTATCTGCTGATGTGAAAAATGAATTCCCATTAATCCCATTATTTCATTTATCAAAGGGAAAAATAAGTATAGGTGCTTTGTTCCACTGATCGTGTCTACTGACGTTAAGAAGCTCAGTTCGAC